GTTCTTGTATTGCCACCAAAAAACGAAATACGACTGCTGTCATTTTTTTTGTTTTTCAAAACTGAATTGTTTATTTGGTTTTTCGTCGAGGAAAGTGCCGCAAAGGGATTCATCGATGGCTGCGTTTGTGACAGTTCATGCTGGTTCTTATGGTGGACAACAAGAAAAATCTTTTAACATTTCAAATTTTAAATTGTTCGTGTTCTTCTACTGTCGCCATTGGCGGCAAGAGAGAATGAGCTAAGAGGTCGAATTCCCCATACATGAACAGGAGGGCAATATGCATTCGCATGCATGCATGCGCTGAACGACAATAGCGTGGGCGCATCAAATCTGATGGCGGGAAATCGAAGAACTGGCGTAAACTTACAGTCCTGTTAGAAGCCATCTCGATGGTGCTTTGAATACTGCACTTTCCAACAACAAAAAAATGTTCTCCATGAAAAAAATCGGACGTTTTCTACGCAGGTTTTCAGTTGTGGATTTTAAAGACTCAATACCAAAAATGAGTGTTGCTTTTTACGTCTAATCACTGAGGAAGAAATGCATCGTACGAATGTTCAGCTGCTTTAAGAAGAGCGAAAAAATGTTTTACTACGTGAGGTTTATTTATTAGTGTGATGTCTCATGTTAAACTGATCGCGGAGACACGTGTTAATATTTAGCACAAAAACATGAAATCTACGGGGTTTTTAGAAATTTTTCGCGGAAATCATAGAAAAAATATTCCACAGGAAATGAAGAATGGATTCAGTCTGAGACAGCAACAATTACAAGTGATTATGTACTACGTACTTTGAGTTTTTTATAAGTTCACTTGCTGCAGACAATACAAATGCACCCCAAAAAAACGAACAATACTTTCTTTCATCTTTAACTCCATAAGATACGAAGATTTTCCCTACGCTACTATTTTGAAGCGACTCTTGAGTAACAGCTCCGGTGCGCCACAATCAATTTCTTATCATTAATTCATATTTGATGACAGTAGTGAAGATTATTTTCCGCCAAAAACTTGATCGGTATATAGACACCCAATCTTTTTTTTTGTGTTGCACTAACACTTCATGATTGACGAATTTTGAAATATCTAAAACAGTTGGAATTTCTTCTGTTGCAATTAGTCCCAGGTTAACCTACTTTTTTCCACAGAAAGACTCGACTACAGGTCGAGCACACCACCAAAATCTATTAAAAACTTCTAAATAACATCAATCGGCCTAGCCTGCACAATCGTAGAATACATGATACGTCAACTCTTGTATATAAGTCTTTTCACGGTCTGGCCCCCAGTTATATTAACGAGCTGCTGGTAGAAAGAAATTCTTCCTACAATTTGCGTGGTAAACACTCTCTTAGTATTCCCAGAGTTCAATCTGTGACGATATTGCATTATCCAATCAGATTTTAGTATTTACATGTGCGCGCTCGGGCTCACTTTGTCATAGTTTACTGTCATGGCCGCTAGTGAGTTCACTATGTTCTGATTAAACAAGTTGAAGTTTAAGAACGTGAGCCAATTCTTTATACAATCGACCAAATATTGTTTGCACTCCTTTTGCTACACTGCCAGCAAATATTGGAATATGCTCCCAGAGGTACTTAGAACTGCTGAATCATGACATGTTTTCAAATCGAAAATTAAGAGCATTAGCTTTGATAATAAATGCTGCTCCTTTTGTAATTAGTTTTAATTTTTACTAGTTACTGTAGTCACAATGAATATAATAATTTTCTTGTTTCTACATTATCTTAAACTTGTACGTAATATATAGTATTACTTTATTCTAATTACCTTTGTCATTTATTTTGTTTTTGCTTTTCCTTCGGAGTTATTAGCATTAGTTGATGCTATCTTTTGAAATCCGAAGTGAAATAAAGTTTTGATTTGATTTGATTGATTTGATCCGTTCGAACACACACGACCAAAATCTTTCTCAGGTTGAACACACGACCAAAGTCTTTCTCAGGTCGAACACACGTCCAAAATCTTCCTCAGGTTGAACACATGACCAAACGGTTCCTCAGGTGGAACAAACGACTTCAAAATGCTCCTCAGATTGAAAAATTCAACTAAACCATGTGCTTGTTTGCATCATTCGGACGTATCCTCACCAGCGCGCTCACCCCTTTTTTTCCTTCTCCCTAAACATGTTAGAAATGTAAAAATATTATAGAAAGGTTAAAAAAAAATGAATAAAGCCCTCTCTGGCTTGCTGGTATATCGGACGATAATGCCCTTGGCTAAGAGATCGCCCTCAAATTTTTTCGAACATTCTCCGGCTATGTTTTGGCATTATCCTCCGATACACCAGTCGCCGGAAGGGGTTTATTTACTAACTTGTCTAGGTTTTATGGCAGCCGAGTGAAGTCACCTTTCGGCGAGTCTAGTTGCAGGATCGATGAGCGTCGATGTATTTGCTGTTACCGTTTAGCACTGATCATTGGCAACCGAAAAATTTACGTGGCGCAATCACCTTAGCATCTTCTTCCGAGCCCTTGGCGAGGCGCAATTAAGATCCCCACTATCGTGATATTAGTGAATCTAGATATATTCGTATATCTATCTTTCGTGCCATTCATCATTTTTAAAATCACCGACTTATATCTCGCATACTGACTAGCTAATTGTTATTATCAATTAGGGGACAGCCACAAGATACATGTTTCATGAAGTATTTTCATACATGTCTTTATACTCGCATGAATACATGTAGGGGGGGGGTAAAAAACTAAAGCGACAGTTCTCCCATTAGTGATTAGCCTGCGAACAACAGATGTATTTCCGGTTGTCGCTTCTCTCCCTCCGAAAAATAGCGTCAGCAAACCCGAGCGGCAAAACGATTTCCGTGACGTAAAACCTTTTGTTTTGATGTTGGCCGATCAGATCAAAGGATAGAATACAGCTCCAGTGACTTTTCGCGACCTCTCGCGCTGAAGTGTCTTGGAGTTCGGAGAGAGTCACCAAATACTCTTTGGAACGTGAATTTCACGACCATAACAAGGTTCCCTGGGACGTTGAATGCTGACTTCTTTACGAAGCAACTGCTTCTTAAGCTATGTATGGAATTTGGGCCTTTGGTTTCGCTTTACAAAATACGGTAGTACGTGCCATAAACAAAATAATCGCTAAAGCGAAAGGAAAGTAACGTAGCTTAATGACATCGTCATTGAGCTCAGACTTATTTATTTCAATTTAAACAGCGCTGACAAAGGGTGGTGAATCAGTTATACAGACACATCCTTGACTGATTCAGAAATCTCTGACAATCGCTCGTTAATAATTCTAGTAACGCCACAACACAATAATCTGAAATATTATAAAGCTGGGCCAAACCCAACGTGAAATAAATAGTTACAGCACTAAATTGATCGTAGTCAAGATGACATTTCAGCTACGTCGCTTCGACTCATCTTACAAAAAACTATGGAAATTAAAACCTTGAAAAGAACATGTATTTAAAGAAATATATGACCAAATATAAAATGCTTTCGATCTGATCAAAGTTCTTTCCGAACCAAGAAGCAACCACGAGTGGGAAATCAATTACCACACGTCCTAGTTTTCAAAGATAAAGGATATCTACTAAAAAATATCTAAAGCGGCAAACGACAAACTATCAAAGAGTTCTCCAAAGCGTACTGCGAGGAACCAGAAAGGAACAGAAGCAACAAACGGCATGATGCGTCTACTGTAATTAGGACATTTATCGTTTCGAATATGATCAAAACAACTAGGTGTGATGAATCATTGACTCCGTAAGCAAATAGATAAAAAATGTTCTCTAATTTTTTCTTCAATATGAATCTTCTTGATGCATATTTCATCAATCAGTCCTACAATCCTGGCAAATTAACTTTCTTAGGCCTCGTTCACACTTAGGGGCTAAATCGATCTCAGGTCGATCTGGCCTTTATACGAGCTGAATGTGAACGTTCGCACCTTTTTGAGATCGATCTGGGATCGATCCAACCTGGATCGCTTCAGGAGGTGGTCTGAGATCTGTCCGAGATTGATCCACGCTATTCCGTGCTGAGTGAGAACGCAAACACGTCCTGAAAGCGATCTAGCTTTGTAGCCTTTTCTCATTGAGAGTCACGCAAGCCAATCGCGCTTGAGGACTTTTATTTTTGCAAGTTGCAAAAAATGCCTGCGAAAACATAAAAAAGAGAGAGAGAACGCTGGAGAAAGGCCAGAGCTCTTATCGCGGTTTAGGTTAACCGTCGGATTCAAGATAAAATAGACAAAAGTCACCGAAACGCAGACGTTTATACGGACATCACAAAAGCTGTAAAGAAACAGGGGTTTTCCTGAACGTGACTGGAAGCAGTGCTGAGAAAAGTCCCGGCGAAACATCTAAAATCTGTGTCTATGAAACTCGGATTTACATATCTTTTTCTCAACTAAGTGTCCAAAACTCGACGGTAGTGCTGAAGAATTTCCTCGATTTTTTGGAATTGAGCTTCTAGCCACTCAAACCAACAGCAAAAGCGGTGAAAATGTTACGAAAATAATAGAGTCTGAGTCGATGAAAAGTCTGAGGAGTTTGCTGTAAAAACTGACAGTCAGCTGGAAAAAGACTGCAAATTATCCAATTTGTATAAAGTGCTCCCGTTTTTAACATTTTTTTTTTCATTCTGAAAACAAGTTAATTATAAAGTAATAGCGAAAAATCATGCACTTTTGTTATAACCGAACAATCCGCCTGAGGTAGGAAAATTTCTCGTGCAATAACAAGACAAATTACACAAGAAAACATTAGCTTAAATTTATTAGTAACAAAAACACTGAACAGCGGCATGGTCCCCTCAAGAAGCCTTAATGACCAGGCAGTACATGTAAGACTTCTTCCATTGTTCGTAATAACATTAATATAACCTTAACGAAGGATGACAAATATTCTAATTCCACACATGAATACGGTGAACCATTTGTGTAAATCTATAAGGGCGATTTATACATCCGTTCAACTCCTTGTGGATGCCCCTATAACCATGCAATGAAAGACCACCATTTTTTTGCAGGATCTGAAGACGATACTGTCGAAACTGAACGACCTTTTCATTCGGAGAATGAAAGAAATTTGAGGTATTTTAGCTTTTGTATTTCCTTTGGCCAAGTAAAAAAACTAACACATATCATCTTATTGCCACTTTTGGGTATTTTCAGTAATTGTCCTTTGCGGAAAATGTTGCGAGAATTTCCAGGACGACGATCATCGTCTCTAACCGATCTTCGAAAGATTGAAATAAACAGGAACCTCAACCTAAATGTTAGTAAAAGCCAGGAAAGTATCTCCATATCAAAAAGTGATATCTCTTATGGTGACTCCCAACGTGAAGTTACCCAGCTGTCAATGAATAACTCCAATTCCCACCTGCCAGATGTTTGGGAAAACTACGAGCGAAGGCAAATGGTAAGTGTTAAGATCAGTAAATAAAAGCTAAACCTAAAAAACTGAGACTATTCTAACATGTTTGAGAGCTGACGAAGTCCGCTCAGCAAGTCCAAACACAACGCACATAGTCGCCCGTTTTCGGTCACGTCAGTCAAGGGCCCGTAAGGAGGATCCCAAAATGTTCCAGTTGTACAACATCCGCCCCTAACACGATTTAATTAGTCGTTGTGGCTTTTTAACTTTACTGGCTGGGTTTGCGAATTTTTCTCTGTCGGTCTCTCTTGCTAATTTCATTGGAATTGGCGCTGCCTTCTCGGATTCAGGTGCCAATGGACTCGAGAGAGTGTCACGAGGCTGGTACTTTTGAGAGGGGCCCTTGTGCTTGGCGTCCTGAGAGGATCATTTGGAACAGGGATGATCTGTCTTCTATTTCTCCTGTAAGCAAGTCCACATTCATCTTCCAGCAGGTACTATCTTAGCAACAATTCAGATTTGCGCCATTTCCTTTCACCATTTGGACGAAACCGTCCTGTCCCCAACTTCGAGTGAAGGCAAATCTCTACACTGTTTGTCGTAATTAGACTTGGCATTACGCTGTTACTGATGAAACGGCTTCAGAACGTGATCATGGCCTACCGGCTGAGATAACAAGAGACGTCGATGAGTTGCTATCATTGTTCGAGTGCGTCGACTCATCAGCAGCTGCGCAAGTGTAGCTAAATGTTGTGGGTCTTTGGTAGGAGTCGTGGGTGTGGGCCGTAAGTGTGAGTAAATGTCGTGAATAAAAATATAGGAACTAAAAATTAAAGGGAAAAAAGTTGTAAAATTCACGAGACGAAGCTCTGCGTACCTAAAGCAGGCTAAACGAAAAATGTCTGTGCAGCTGTTTTTATCAATTATGAAGTGTGAGTATCAAAGCTGGAAGAGGAAAGAGAAATGCCTATTATAATCTGATCAATCAGTATAATGAAATTTGAATTCTCCGCCTCGCTGAGATTTACAATTCCAGTAATCAGCGGTGATTTCTTTTAGCTCGAACGAATGCGATCACTGTGGGAAAGAGGAGGGGACGTTCAGAAAACGATTCACTCGCAGACTGAAAATACGATCTGCAAGTAAACTAAAAGGTCGGAGTTAATAAAGATCGACCTTTCGCCGCCTCCTTTCCTAAAAACAACAACAACAACAACAACTATGGGGAATAGGCCTCTGCCCGATTTTGTTTGAAGAGAGGGAAGGGTCGGTACGGAGGCCAGACTTTGGCTCTTTTTCATTTTGCTTTGAACTTTTTCCTTGTGAAATTGTTCAACCGACATTTTCTGGATTTCGGGTGATCTACCATGATCTCTGAACATTTCGAGAAAGTCAAGCACCAGTTTAATTTGTTTGACCTGACATGTTAACGAAACGACTGCTGGTTAGCAAAAAGGACAATTTTGAGCCACTTCATTTTATGGATTGAGGTCTTTCTTATAGTTTATGGTCATGACATAATCGCCCTTATTTGCTTTGCTGACAACTGGAAATGAGAATGAGACTTGTGTAGGCGAACATTTTCGTGTCATAAATTTTATAACTTTTCTCTATTTATTTTTTTCTCTTTGTACTTTTTTTTACCCACGACATTTATCAACACCTACTACCCGCGACCCACGACCCACGACATTTAGCTACACTCCAGCTTCGCAGGTGGTACACCAATATCTTCGAATGGTTTGTTGATGTCCCTCAAATGGATCTTTCTTTTCTGCTAGAGCCTTTCTTTCTGCGCCATTTGATTGAGGATACTCTGGTGAACTGGTTGTATGGGAAGATCCCCACTCTTCAGCGAATTTCTTGAACTCATGGTCAATGCTGAACAAATGTCTGATGTTGCTGTTCTGTGATTCGTTGTGGCTCATAACTTTCTCTGGGATTACAAACCTCGCATGATTTTCTTCAAGTTGTTGATGACACAAATCGCGGTGCTCTGGCGAAGCAGTTCTCTTTCAAAGCACCATGAATAGATCACCATACCCAAACTATTCAGTCCCAACTAGTTGCCAAGGTAATTCTGGAACGTCATGCTAATGTAATGTCTCTCTGTCTTGTCGGTTGCGGAACGAATTACACACTTGACAGGAACTGAATGTGTCTTTGATTTGGATAATCATCGAAGGCCATGCAGAAAACATAATCCCTCGCAAAACAAAGGGTTTTCCCCTTTTCCATGTGAGCTCCATGAATTTACATACTTCAGCTTTCAATGGTCTTGACACTACAATTCTGTCTGATTTAAATGACTTGCTATTCTCAACAGCCTCTTCTCTGAAATTCCAATATTCTCAGAGGGCCATCCTTTCAAAACATTCATCACTACTCTTGATGTCTCTTCAGTATTTTAGCTGTCATCGAATCCCTCCAGGGTGCTGCTTTCTATCGATTTCTAATCCAAATTCCTCAAAAAGATTAACTCCTATTACATCGTCGGGCTCACTGACTGGTTCTGTTTCACTTAGAGGTGCTCTGCCAAGGCAGTCTGAAATGACCGGTGTTTTCCTGAGACAATATGCAACACAAAGTCATGGTGAGTTTCAGCATCATCCTCATTCAGTCAGCTTTCAGAACAATGGAGTACTGCGGTTTGTGATCTGTCTCCACAGTGACCCTACACATATGAAACTTTTCGCTCCCCAAACAATCGCTAGCAACTCTTTCAATATTTGCATACATCTTCCCTAGGGAATTCAATGTCTTTGAACTAAAAGCAACTGCTTTGCCCCCCTGCATGATCAATGCACCGAGTCCTGAGCTACTGGCACCAACTATCTCTTTGCTGTTATCAAAGTATGCTAACATCGGTACACTAGTGATATCAGATTTCAGCTTATCAGAAGCCTTTTGTTGTGGTTTCCCTCACACAAATGCTACATCTTTGTGGGTAAGTTGTGAAAAGGCTGTTGTAGATTGACCTTGTGTTAAATGAACTTGTCTAGGCAATTGAAAGTTCCTAGTGTTCGAAGTACACCTTCTTTGTCAGAAGGAGGGGGATTGTTCAGCTTTTATCAGGGTCAGGTTTAAAACCTTCGGCCGAGAACAAATGCCCAACATAGCTTAGTTCAGGAACCCGAAGTTTCACTTTCTTTGGATTGAACTTCAATCCTACTTCTCTGCTCTCTCTTCTCCTGTCCAGTACTCTTCTAAACGTCTGATCAGCATCTGTTTGATCTTCACCATGTATTTGGAAATCATCCACTATAATCTTTACAGAAACCCCTTCAAAGAATTGGTTTGTCAATCACTAGCATAGATGTGAAACCCAAGGGGTGTGTTGCTCTTCTTTAACAATATCTCATGCTGGTTGAAGAAGTAAAATTGTAATTTTCCTTGGAGGGTGTACCACTGGAGGAACAAACGGATCAACTTCGAAATGTACTTGGTAGGTAGCTTACCAGCTTTACCACTGAAACAATCTTCATAGTCCCGTAACACAGGATCGTTTTGAAGAAACTTGGCATTTCTTGCCCGGGTTGTCTTGACCCTGGAGTCTCTATCAGTTCAAGTTTCATAAACTCGAGAACCTGTAAGTCCAGATAAGGAGCACAACCCATCAATAGTGTAAAATTTCCAGCATCAGCAAATTACAACAGGTTAATTTCATGACCCCCATATTGAGTTGGAAGCCTCAAAACCCCTTTGGGTTGATGCAAGCCAACCCTTCAACGTTTCTGAATTTTCTGAAGAGGTTTGTATCCCTTGTATGCGATTTCCTTGTTTAGTTCATAGGGGATGACGGTAGCTTCTGCACCAGTATCTGCTTTGTCTGTACATCCTTCCCAGCAATTTTGACAGTAATCAAGCTCCTAAATTTCTTTCGAGTGCCGAAGACAGTATCCAGCACAGCATGATCCGAAATATGTGTGCACATCGTGATTAGGCGCGGTCTCACGTTCCATGGCTGCAACTTGTGAACCTTCAGCGCTTAATTCTTCGCACGCCTGCGCAAAATGTCCTTCTTTCTTACACTTGCTGCAATGGCAGGGCAGCTAGGTGGCTGAATAAATGGGTGCTTGTAACCTCAACGCTTACAGGAACGAGGAGTTGTCTTTTCTTTAACCTTGAGTTGTCTACGAGGGTGAAGTGAACGTTCGGTACCATCAACGTTTGGTGTGTTACAGTTCCTCTCGCAATTCGTCTGACAAAACTCCTCCCACGATACGATCACGAATAAGCGAATCTCGAAATTTTCTGACCTTCGCGCCTTCGTTGTGGACGGACAAAGCTACTACTAGTCTTCGCAATTTCAACGTTTTCACAAAAACTCTCTAAAGGTGAGCTGTTCACAAGCTTGAAATCCTTCGCCATTTCAACGTTTTTACGGGAACTTTCTGCAGGCGAGCCAATAACAGTCTAGCCAGGCAAGTGCCGTCACAGGCTTGTTATTCTCCGAGCTAAATGCGGTCTCCGCAGTCAGGCACTTTATTTTCGTTATCTCTCCCATCCCCCTGAAACTGGGAAATAAGGAAAACGATCCTACGCCAAATGATCGGACGACGAAGAGATAATGTGTCAAAACAACGACAATTAACTTCCACTAGTAGCCACTGGTGCGACCCTCCTCGATTTGATTAAACGTTTTCTTTTCCGGTTGCGGTTTCGAACTTTCGTGTTTTTTTTTAGCCGGCAAAGATTAAATTTTTCCCCAAGTGCGACCCATGCCTAAACCAGCGAGATTGGTGTTTCCAGTTAGGGTTATCTGACGATTTTGCCATGACGCATCTGAAATTCTTCCCGTACGTGACCTACATGACCAAGAGCTTTAATGGTCCCATTATGGCTCTTGACATCAGGTTCATAAATATGCAAGCTCAGGTGAGTAAAGATTTGGCGAATTTTTCCGCTCCTGTTGTCTTTTGTGCTGCTCAACGAGTCAGATGACTAACATGTGTTTTCGTTTTTTTTAGAATAACAATCATCTGTGTAGTTTCTCCTGTTCATACTGTTGAACTTTTAAAATTTGGCTGATAAGATTCCTGGTTACTGGCAAGTCAGGTGAATTACTTCGAGGTACGTATTTCTCGTTAAAGCGAAAATTTTGTTTTCAGCTACTGTTGTCTGGTTTTGATCGATTCGATAACTAAGTATAACAAACATTTTTTCTTTTCTTATTGTAGGTGGCCGACCACCGGCATGCCATGTTTTTCTATCAATCGCTGTTGAAAGTGCTTCGATTATTTAAAATATGAGTCCTATTGCTAGCAACATGACAATCAAGGCTGGATTTATAAGAGGGCCAATGGTCGTAAGATGTTTAAGAGCGACGGTCAGGAAATATCGACCATCGAGTGGCAAGAGTTGAAAAATCGATTTCCTTCATTTTTTGTCCATAAATAGCTTTTAGGTGGATAAGTAATCTGATGTAAGTTGTTCTCGCAAAAAGCCTTTTATTTTCGAGGAAAGTACGAATATCAGTTTTCGTAGTCGGAGTCTCAAAATGACCGTATTTTCAACCCGAAATTTGCTAACATCAACTCTCCTTGCGTTTGCAAATAAAGCCGCAAGGAGAAGTTTGGACACTTTCCATCAATAGAAAAACTCTTCTTCTTTCACTAGAAGATACTTTTAAAACAATATCAAGACTCGTTGAACTAACATAATTCAAAAACGAAGAACAGGTTTTTACAGTGACAAAAACTTTAATTTAGTAGTTGTTTTCTGCGCCATTTTTCTTCATGTG